TTAAGGTGTCAAACACGAGCTACTTCTTTGACAAGTATGTATGGTGGATTGCAATAAGGAGGTAATTCCTCTCTCAAGCAAGCTCTACAGAACAGCTTTTATAAAGCATCTTGGCTTTATAGCAGTTTGTTAAGAAACAGAGTCTTTATTCATACAACCTTACAAAACTTCACCACCATCAACTTCATTAAGTATGCTATGCTGTTAAGATAAAACAACCAAAATTTATTATTAGTAGAAAACAGATCCAACTTGAAAAGATCCTGCAAAATTTGTATTAATTTATTTATTATTGGAAAACTGCCATAGCTTAAGTCTAATTTTGAATAACGTAGGAAACAATTCCGCATTCAGTGAGAATTCAAACTTCTTGTATAAGTGGGGCTTTTGAGTATAATGGAATCAAAGACAGAAAAAAAAATGTACTTCTATTCACTCAAGAGCCAAACAGCGCAAAAAAACTATTCCTGAATTACAGAAGTCCAAGGAAATCCAACTGATAGTCTTGTTTTAAAAATGCCTTCTACTTAACTTGCAAGTGGATATAGAAGTGAGGGATAAGCTATAACTCAAGAGGCTCAAAATAAGAAAGAAATGGGAAGCTATGTTTATAAACTGGTCCAAAGGAGGACAAAACTCTTAGAACAAAGACTAAATATGGGTCTGTGTTTTTTCCCATCAAGTTTCTGGCATTACTGAAGCTATGTACTTTGTTATTGCTTTGGGATGTGCTTTTTCACTCCCTTGTTCTTATCTGTCCTACAGCTTTTGATCCAAGTCCGCTACAGTCTCTGCTGTTGTAGCAATCTCCACTGCTTTAGCGGTTACCACTTTGTGTTGATACACAACGAACTTGAGCAGCAGAGCTTCTGTCTAAGAAAAATTAAAGGAAAGCAAAACAACACCTATAAATAATTCCTGAAAAGACTAGGAGATAAAAAAAGTTAAGTATTTAATATACAAAGTCTTACATGAAAGAACTGTAAGCATTCAGAAGTTGAAACTGATGAACTCACAAGAAACAGTTTCCTTGGACGAAAGAGGACAAGGACACCCCAAAATCTCAAATCTCTCTTTAAACCAGAAGAGCTGTGAGCTGCAGGCCAGTATCACAGCTACTGTTTCATTAAATACAATACCCACCTGACACTGTTTTGCAGTGTTACAACAGAATTAAATACGTGTACCATAAAACCAAAGACTACAACTCCTAAATATTTCAGTCTCTTTTATAGACACATGAAAACTATTTTAATACACTAAATCCAAATTAATCTCTTTTCACTATTCTACGTTGGTGACATAAGTAAAAGTAGATCCTGGAACCGGAATTATTTAGTATATAGGCTCTGATTGAGATTTAACAATGTAAATCTCTGTAAGCCATTCACAACTGGATAGTAACCATTGCACAGTCTGAATAATTAATGTATTACTAGCACTCAGAAGTACTGCATTATTTAAAAAAGTATTTGTGCTGCTGAAAAAATATTGCTTCCAATCACCACCAACAAGTTCCTATTTTAGCAAGGAATATGTATGCAAAATAAAAATTAGCAAAATATTATAGGAAAACAAGTCTCCTGATGAAGCTATCGTGAAATCAGAATGCATATAGATTGAGCTGTAACAGCGGATTTCAACCACCCAACTTTTAGGAAGAAAGGGAAAAACCCTAACCAATACTAAAGTGTTTATCAACAACTTACCTACTAGACAACATACAACTAGATTAATAAACTGTTTAGGCATCACTAGGCCTAATTTTTATCACTAAATCACTAAATTTTTAACGTACAACTTCACCATGAACAAGAATGCTTCAGGAAGAGAAATCCCCACACAGAAAATATTTTTTTTCACCTGTAACCAAATCGAGTAACTGGTAATTGCATTCAAATTGATTACAAGACGTTTTTCAAAAATAGTTATACTGAATAATCAAAGTTTAACAAGTTAGGGAAAAGATACAGAAAGAAACTTTAAAACAGGAAAGCCTAATACTGCAGCCTTACATGACAGGTTCCAATTCTGGTTGTCATTGCACTTACCATTTATGTCCTTTTATACTGAACAGTAAAAAAGGATAGGATATAAGTGAAGGAAGCTTACTTTTCAAAGCTTTCAAGAAACAAAAACAAGGATTAGAAACAATTATTATTTTCCTTCTAAATACATGGTTGGCAGAAGACTTTAATATGTTATAAGGATTACGCCAAAAGAGTTTATCAAGACCTAATATGGTAAAAACTATTCACCAGTATCATAAAATGCAATTTTCACCAAGAAGCAACTTTTAAACTCTTAAAACAGAGAATAATTTTTTTTCAGTGCAATCCGAAATTAGAAGTAATTACCAGATGGAGTCTGTTCACAGTAAATAAGTATTAGTAAGAATTAATTAAAAAATTTAGTTGTATAAGAAATCCTACTAACTTCAAAAAAGATTGGATGTATCATTTCGCAATCTCCAAAAATGGTTTACAATCCTTCTGCCACAAAATGCAAAGGTTTTTTCAATTCCCATTCCAACTACACAACTATGTACAGTTGTCTAAAGACATTATAATGAACACCTATAAAATGACAGGCCACGCTCAGAGTTACATAGCTGCCCTTATTAGAAACAGTTGCTAAAGTAAATACATCACTTCCAATTGTTTCAATTCTTCATCTTTTAAAGTTCGAAGGACACTAAAAGTAAAATATTAGTCAACACATGACCAGAATACTAAAGACTAGTCTGAAGACTAGAGAACACATTTTTTTAATATTATACATGCCACTTCAACTTCACATGACATTAAAAAAACACCACCTGCACTATACATACCTTTATGTAACTTGTAACACTTTTGGTAGGGTTGTCCCTGCACAGATACATCTATATATTCTCGCAGTGTATTAACTGATTCCAGATGAACACAGTCCCAGTAATGCAACTCAGTGGGAAAGCTACACTCTTCCAAAGCATTCTTCCACCTTTACCTTTCCCTCCAAAAAACTCCACCATACAAACATTGCAAAAATTATGCATAGTGATTGAAATGCTTTCCATTTGAACCATTCCTCTCCCCTTCTTACGCTACATTTTTGCCATGTCCAGCACACTAACTTGCACAGTTTCTATTCACATTAAGAGTTCAGAATTTAAAGATGCAGACAGGCACGAGGATGGCCAAACTATGGCAAGCAATTCAAGCACAGAAGCCAAGTAACATTATCTCAAGGCAGTTACAATACAACAAGTAGAAGTTGCTGGGGCCAACGTTATCCAGTTTTCCCAGCACCCCAAGCTGCAGGATATAGGCCACAATCTCCTAACAGCAATGGAACCTGAGGCAGCTGCTGCCATCTCAAGTGTGTGGGATGGCTCCCCAGCTTCCCCTTTCTGCAGCTCTCTGCAAGTAGCATGGGTGTCTCAGATCAGCCACAGGAGGATTTTGACAGGTAGCTTATAGGGTCAGAAAGTCAGGCCACCCCAAAAGATGCTACGTGAAGACATTAAGGTGAAACGAAATTTCGTATTTAGCACTACAGAAGTCACAATCAATAAGTGCTATTTCTAAATCACGTCAGACAATTGTTATACACTATTTCACAAAATATGTTTAATAATATGTGAGAACACACTAAAGGACATTATGAGTTTTGAATTCTTGATCTTCATCACCCCAAGGACAAGATATGCTGAAAGCAGTTTTCTTTTACAGTGTGACCACATAGGGAAATCAATGTTTTGTTGTTTTCTGCTGCAAGTTTCTCAAAACTCAATCAGCAAAATTAACTGATAGCTGTTAGTAACATCAAAGTAACAGTTTTACTCCCTCCGCATCTTTATCAAAAACACTAAGGGAGAAAGGATGGGAAAAAAGATGTCCTGCTGCTAACACCATTATCTTTTATTTGCTTACTTCTCTTAGGATGTTTCAGAACACACATAACATTCTTCTCAACCCTACAGAAAATGTTACAGTATATAATGTGAAATAGCTATTTCCTCCACAAAACTCAAAATCAGAATGTAGCTGAGAAACGAGCAGTTTATGTATCAAGTTGCACCCGTAAACGGGAGCAAAATCCACTCCTGCAGACTACAGTTGTTATAATAATATAAAACAGCATTGTGTGGATCTCTTATTCATTGCTTCCTCGCTAAGAATAGGCGTAACAGTAAAAGGTATCCATCTGACATGAAACTAAAGCATTCACAATACAGGTTGTGCTCATGTATCTGCTTTGGTTGGTAAAAAAAAAAAAAACAAACCATACCCTTGACCAAAATAGATCATCATGAAAATTTAGAAGCTGACTTCTCTGATACCACCATTTTGTTAGTCCTGCAGGATAAGTCTTCACAGGCAGAACACACCTAAATTACTAATATAAACAATCTAGAAAATATAGCAGAGGACATTTTTTCCCCCCACTTTTATCTTTCAGTCTCCTTTAGTAAAGTTTTGAGGTTATCCTCATCTAATTCTACAGTAGGATCAAAGGGAAGAGTGATTTTAGGCTCCATATGAAGTTAACACCATCTATTTTGTTTCTGAAGTATATCCTTCTTCAAAACTTCAGCACAAACCAAAACAATTCAAACTAGCTTAAGAGCCTGAACTGGTTTAAAATTTAAACCTTCAGTCAGACTAGGGCTCCTCCTCATGGAAACATCATTTATTCCCATGACTGCTCACTTAGATAAATACTATTATTTTATTGGCAAAATTCATTTCCCTAATAAAAAAGACAAATTATTACCTGAACACTTTCACTTAACTGAAGCATTACATCACCAGCTTGCGGGAAAAATAACCGTGATGCCATTGTACAAGAGATTAACTGCACTACTAAATCTATACTGCTCCACTCAGAACAATGGAATACTGAAGGAAAAACAGTAAACAAGAAGGCAGTAGCTCAATAGCTAGTATATAAATAATAATAAATAACAATAAAAAATGAAAACACAATTTGGACTTTTGTCATAGACTTTTACTTACATTGTCCATGAAATTTGGCTTAAATCCTCCCTCCTGCTGTCGTCGTAATTCCTCCTGTTCCCTCTGGCGCAGCATCTCTTCTTCACGTCGTCGATGTTCTTCTTCATGTCTAGAATATTTTTCAAAAACTATGTCAATTTAGACTCTTGACCTTTTCTGACTTGTACTCAGTCTCAGGAGCTAAGATCAAGCATATAAACAAAACTGCTCATTCTTTTATTTTTTATATAGTGTAAGTCACTAATCTACTCCACCTGGGTTTGAGTATTACTGATGTTTAGGGGTTTTTTTAATTTTAATACAGGTAATTACAATACCAGTACATTCTATATCTGTTCTTCCAGCTACATACTGGTAAGTAGGTTAAAATAATCCAGTTTTTAAAAAATCACTATGGATTATAACATTTAATTACTGCCAAAAGACATTTTTAACTCTGAGAGAAGTTTGTGTTTCAGGGTTTTTTTTTCCTCATCTACATTTCTTGTGATATTTAACATAAAAAGTATTAACTCAACCAACATGACCACCCAACCAACCAGTATGTTTATTTTCTTAAATTTTAGCAGAGGCAGTGAAAAGTGAAAATACCCCCCAAAACCTCATGTAAGACTATTAAATTTGCAATGCTACTATTCCACATGCAGCTCACCTGTCCATAAATCTTAGAAGCATGTTCGTATCTATTACAGCTATGCTTCTCACAAGGTTAAATATGAAACAAATTTATGTTATTTCTACACTATTTAGAAAGCTCAGAAACTTACAACAGAACTAGTATCACTGAAATAAATTTTAAAAATCAATAAATATCTGAAACCATTCTTTTATATTAGTATAACTGATCACTTTCCTGTTCAAGAACATGAACAGAAATATCACACATTATGCTTTTGAAAAGTAACTTTTTAGAAGCAGAAATATTTTCATTTGATATGAAAAGCAAGCGCTACAAGCTAGAGTATCTAAATTCATGTAGGCCTACAGCAGCTGCATGTCACACCTTTGCACAGTAGAAGACAAAATACCTCAACTGTATCTGCTTCCGTTTTTGAAGTTCTTGATTTCGAAGTTCTTCCAAACGCCTCAATTCCTCTTGACGTCGCATCAGATCTAACAAGATTAAAAAGTGTAATAAAGATAAAAGCTGCCAATCAACAACGTGGCAACACAAAAAACTGCTATTACTGTCAGATTACATTTTTAACACTCAATTTTTAAAGAAATTTCTTAACACTTTTAACTGGTTTCTTCCCATAAACCGAAGTCTAGTATATGAAAAAACACACTGGATCCACAGCTCACAGAAACAGAGAAGTACAGGACTGGCAAAGCATCTGAAGCAGGTTATGGAAACAGAAATCTGAAGTCCTCAAACAACAAAAAAAAAAAAAAAAAGGGAGAAAAAACTCTCAAGCTCTTAAATCACATCCTAGTTTTACACCTAGGGCAAGGCATCAATTTTCTCACAATTCTGTGTATTGCTGAAGTCACACTAGCAAGAAAACTAGTACAATATATTTGGGCTTATACTCTCCACTACCTACTGCAGATGACTGCATGGCACACATCAGAAGAACAAGTCATAGGAACTTCAGGCGCATGTAGTTTGAGCCTCCATATTTATCAAAAGACTCTGCTTATCACGATATACAAATGACTGATCTCTAACACTACCAGAAAAGAACAGCCACACCCTCTTAAAAAGCAGGACACAACTAACAGTAACTACTTTTGCTGCACTAGTTTCTGACCAGGAACATTACTGATTTCTGCCTGGAAATTCATGCTTTCTTCAATGAATATTAATTCCGTCTTTTGTTAGAAAGCAGTTGTTTGCCTTTTCTATCTTCATAGAATATTGGGCACGTGACATTATCTACAGACACCACAAGGAACATTCCACTTTACCTATTAAATGCTTTTCATGCTTCAATTCAACTACTCCACACCACTTCTCTATGCATCTCTTCACTACACTAATCATCTTTTTAGCTATGCATATCACTGTCCTCAAACTTGCATCAGTATATATTATTACAACTTAACCTTTAATATCCAGAAACAACTATAATGATCAGTACTATTCACCAAAAAATCATGTGTTCTCGAACAAAGCTGATCATCAGATTTTTTCTCTCGCAGCATCCTTATCAACATTAGGAGTCCTTTCTCCAGCACATTTTGCAGGCTTGCTTTTCCAATCTCTTCTGCAAAACTAATACATTTCAACACTTTAACAGAGTATTATTACACTAAAGATTCACTCAAATCAAAGTCCGAGGGCTGCATCTTTCCAACTGTGCTTGCCATAGAAGGCTTGGCCACTATTATGCTGACACTTCGGAAGCGCCACAAGCACATTTTTGTTTGTTTATTTTCTTATAACCTTCAGATTATTTCAGAGTACAAGTGCCATTTCTTCTTTTGAAGTTAGCCTCTAGGTTCTTTCATAGTATTACCAAGATCAAGAACTGGCCCATTCTATGCTCAATATTGTTCAGTGTGGGAAAAGATGTTTCCTTGTCAGTTCTTTGTTCTTTCAAATTTACGTAGCATTCCTTTTTTCTTCTGCTAGTAGACTGGCACACAATTTCCCACTCTCTATCATTAGTTGTTACAAATTTATCATTTAGCCCCCTTTATTCGTGAAGTCGTCTAGAGTCCTACTTTTCCCAGCGTCCTCTCAACTTTTTTCCACAGGACAGTTCTGAGTATTGCCTTTCGTGAAATTATTAGTATTTTGAAGTTCCACATACCAACTTATGATCCAGTACCATTTGACAATGTCAAAATCTTGGCATAAAGCCTTACTAGCCAGATGAAAATACACATCTAGAGGCTCGGGTTGTGCACAGAGCTATTCATATTAAAATATCTGCAATGATGGTAATTCTGGAATGACGTATGTTGGACACAGGCCCTTTCTCAGAATACAAAAAGCCTGCACTAAAGCAGCTGTGAAAAAGACAAAAAAGCATTACTGTTAGCTTCTGCACTTTTCCTTAATTTTATCCTCAAACCTCTGCAGAGCAGAGGGCAGAAGATGAAAGTGTGCTTTCACCTCACAAGTTAATCCTACAAGCAGGAATACCCAGTCCAAAAAGATTTTTAAGTTGTTTTAGCTGCTGCTTTTTCAGGTTCTGAAAATGGAAAACAAATGCCCAGCTTCCATATAACTGATAAAGAATGAAGCTTGTGGTTAAATTCAGTCACTTTTTCCAACATTTTCATAAACTATTTAACCACCATTATGAGAGAACATTTACAAAAGTCTGAAGCATACCACCAATATGTAGATCAGAAATATCACACCAATTTACTTACACAAGGAAGCAGGTATTCTGCTTTACAAATTACTTGACTCAATCTGTCAAAACATGACACTTGAAATTGAAAATTACACATATCAAAAGAACGAAGTCTACCTTCAGTATTAATACTACACCACAAAAACCCGAGTACTTAAGCCTACATGTTCTAGTTCAAGTCCTACTAGCTCTCATAAAGCAATTTCTGTAAAACCTTCACCTGCAGGAGTACATGGACTCCAGGAAGCTCACCCTTCCCCTTTTTTTTCAGCTCCTGACAATTAATATATTGCAGTTCACATTTCAGAATAACTTATTCAATACACCTTTAAATCTGTGGTTTGTGCATCTGCTATTAATTATACATTCTGATGCCTCAAAAGTTTCATTGCATCTCTCAGAAACTCTGTGATGCAAACTCCTTAATATAATTAATATTCTTGGCATGGTCTGAACTTTTACTCAGAGACACTGTTCAGACCAGTGAGATTTAGAATCACCTAATGTCTGAAAACAAATACAAATGAGAAAACCACCTTATTTTCATACACACTGAAGCAGGAGAGCTGACAAGATTAAAACAGAGGGAAAGATTACTAACCCCTAGAGCTTGGCAAATTAAACATCTGCAGGTGAATAAGCAGAAATCTAATTATCTGAAGAAAATTTCAAGTTATTTCGTACCAGAGAAGTACTCTGATAACCAAACAGGGAAGGAAAAAACCCTCCTCCCACACCAACAAAAAGCATGTTCCCTCACTGCAATATTAGCACCAAAAGCATTCATATTCTAGTGGCTCTTTAACAGAAGAAGTAATTAATTCCTCTTCCATACAAAAGTGAAGTTTAATAGATATTCAAATAAGGAATATGTTTTCCTTCAGTGTCCTTAAAAGAAACCCTAATATCCACAAAACATACCTAAGCTGCTCTCCTGTGTTTTCCCATAAAGACCTTTTCTTAAGAAACAGGCCACTGTCATCTTGTCTCAGTTTAAAACACGGTAAAGGCATGATAATTTCAGAAAAGGTAATCCCTAACCTTGCCTTCAAGTACATGAAACAGGTGAATAAATTCTAAAAAAAATTACAGAACTAGATCATTAGCTCTACCAAATACTAACAACTAGTTAAATCAGTGGTAAATTTATCCAACCTGTATTTTCAGCATTGAACCATCTTTACCAATATCAGTTAAACATATACACATAATTAAAAGCGTGTGTCTAATTGAAAAGGGGGGGCTGTACTGTGTATTACAGGCATTGTCATTATATCACATTAACATTCACATTCCTCACCTGTAAGATATACCTATGCTTACATGCAAACCAAATGCTTTAATATTTTTTGCTTGGAAAATAAACCAAGAAACAACTTGACAGTTGTCATTTCAGGTGCTGCAATAACTATTTGGCATTTCAAAACAGGTTTTTTATTTTATTACACTCTGTATTTTGGTACAAGATCTTATGTAAACAGTATGGTTTCACACTAAAAGCAAGCATGTCTATTTAGAAAAAAGAAGGCTAAATAAACTTTTTCCTTATTACAACTTTCATTTGCAGTAGATTTAAGAACACTACACAAAAAAATAAATATGCTCCTTTTAATCTCTTTTCCAGTTATGAAAATGTTTTAAAACACATTTTAAAAGAATGCATGTTTACATTCTATGTATCCAAGCACTTGGGTGCTTTAATTCCACCAACCTAGTGAATACTCTTGTCCGGCTCACATAGATATTTTCGACATGTCATTCAAGTCAGCATTAATAATTAAGATAAACCAGCCTCACACAGGGAAGTCGTAGTACCAGCAAACATGTCCTTCCTTAAGAGTAAGCATTAAGTAAAGCCAAGTAATTGCAGCAGACAGCTTGTGTAAGTTATCTGGGTTTAAGTTTTGAGATGCATCCACTACTTAGACTCTCAAGAAATTCAAAACCCTTCAAAACGACAAGCCACTCTTATTCAGCCTATCAAGCTAGTTATTGTACTGTCTTATAATCTAACCCTTAGGGATAAGATTTTTTTTACGTAGCCATGATGTCCCTTAAATTAAGATTTAAAGAAACACCACAAAACTTCCATGTTTCATTCATTCAACAAACATTGAAATCCTGTCCAACAGATCTGCAATATATTTAAACTTTATCCACCAAAATCTCACAATTTAGCAGTCATACAGAAGGCACTAAAATCAAGTAGTAGCTCAATAGTCCTGAACTGGAAAGCAGTGACTGCATGTCCACACCATTTTGAAGAAAACGTATTTTGGGGAGAAGACTAACAAGCAGAAAGTACCAGGTACTTGCCCTGCTACTGTCCTCTCTGCCCAACAAACACAAGCTCCACCCAGCTCCACTTTTAAAGATAGGGCTCGAAAACAATTGCTACAGGGCTTTCCCCAACTCCAACACTAGCAGAAGACAAGATGTCCAAACAATTGCAAAAGAGGAATACATGATCTTCAAATTTCAAGGACGGCTGAAATCCATGGCAACAGTGAGTCATTTTGAGTTGTTACACACATGTAATACTACACTCGCATCAGACTTAGGTGGGTTTTAGAGGAAAAAAAGAAGTAAAATTAGCTACTGAAATATTTAAAATCATACCAGAGGTGCACAGAACAGCCAAAAGAAGTACGAGCTATCATTTTTTTATTTTTTCCTGCACATGGCCCACAAACAGTACTTAGTCTTATCTAGTACCATAAGTAACATCAAAAACGGAAAATAATTTTGCTGATGTGTGTAAAGCTACCAATTTGTTTATATAAACTACCTACGCTACACAAATTTAAGCAGTGAAGAAAACAGACCTAGACAATCACCTCTTTCTCAGTTTCTTAATCCATCTCTGCAGATCATCAAGGAATATGTCTAATGAGAAATATTACTTCCTTTTTCTCAGTTCAATGCATTTCATTAAATAGCATCTGGCAAAATCTTTACGTTTAACATACAGTTCTATGCTACATAAAGAAAAACTGTGACAAAACAAATTTGATACTAGTAGATTAACTGATTTTACCTTGCCGCATCAGCATTAGCTGATGCTCATGCCTAGCTGCTTCCATTTCTGCCTCTAGTTTCTCTTTGGCTTCTCTAATGTTCCTGTCAACCTGTTCACGCTGTTGCTTTTCCATCTCATCAAGAGCCTTCCACCGTGAAGCATACTCAAATTCAAATGTTCCAGGCTGCATTTAGATTAACAGCTGTAAAAGCGAAAGAATTGATAAACAATCACTTTGAGTGTAGGTCTGACTTTGAATCAATTTATCAGATTACTATATTCTAAACCAGTCAAAGCCTAATTCAGCTAAGACAAGTAGTATGATCAATCATTCAAATAAAGATCTATTCAATTTATATAATTTTAAAATAGAAATTCATATTACTTCAGTACAAAATACTAAGATGCAACAGTAGATTAACTGTGTTCAGCATTCTAAAGCAGTCAATTCATAAAACCAGTTATTTAAATAAATATCAAAGCTTACTAGACAGCTCAGAACATTAGCTAGAACCTCTAAACATTGCCAATACACCTTTTATTTCATATTCTAACATTAATACTGTAACTAACAGTGACACATTTTTAAAAAGTGGTATTCTACATCCTTACTGGAATAAGCATTTTAGCTTCAAGCATCATGATTTCTAAATGGCAATCAAATTTCAATATTAAAAATCAATATTATAAGGTTCAGTGACATCTCTTTCACCTCATGATCAAGACTCACTTTCTCATGTCATGCTTAACAAAGTTTTATCTGAACCATGGAAGCTGCAAAGATTTACACTCCGTTGACTTAAACAGTTAAGGGGCTATTCACAGAACAAAACAAAAAAAAAAACCCTGTGGGTATCCCAATCTCTGCATGATTAGACCACACTCCTAATCTGTAAAAGACTACAGCTTGGCTGGCAACAAGCTCCAACTGACTTCAGTGTAGGCCAGGAGTCTACCTACTTTGGAAAATGCAAAGAACGTTAAATCAGCAAGTCGAGTCTGAATTTTACTATGATTAGAAACTCTTGGCAAGGTCCTGTTTAATCCTTTGACACAAAACAGCACAATATACAAAACCCTACTTTGTTACACAAACTCGAAAACAGAAATGAGTGTATATTTACCAAGCTAACTGAGAAACATAAATCATGTTTTATAAAACAAAGCTAAACACAACTTACTTGTGATACTGCTGTGTTTTTTGCATTAACTTCTCTGGGAGCCCATCTTCATCATCAAATTGTTCCATTGGTTCTACAACAACAGGTCGAGGTGTTCTGGAAGACGGTTTCAATTGAATAATCGAATCATAAATAAAGCAGTTAAAACTTATTTTAGTATTCTGAGGAAACACTTCAGAAACCTAACATACATTATCTATAATTCCTGTGTCTTTCAAATCCTTCTTAAATCGTAAAATTCTAATGAATTCTGATTTTTAAAATTACTTTGAAAATAATTGTTTCTACACCCAAAACCAGCTATTCTGTCTAGAAATCACAATTTACTTGATGTAGTTCTGTTTGCTATGAAGCATTTAAAGATTTTTTTAAAAATCTCAAAAACCTTCTACAAAGAATTATTAAATATTTAGGCAGGAACTACCTTTTTGTTTCATCAGTGAGGCAACATGGTTATAATGGGAAGGCACCAGACAAACCCAAAACAGAGCAACACAACCTATTTGTATTTCAGCAGAATATTAAAAGTTATTTTGAAAGTTACTCTACAAAACAGCTTGATAATCTGGCATTAATATTCCAATGATAATTAGAAAAAAACATTTCTGCTTAAGTTATTTAAAACCCATTATTTGAACAACCATACCCTCTCAGAATCCTAACTTAACTTTGAAAACACCTTCCTTCAGTTCTCATTATCTGAAGTAATCAGGGGCAAGTATTAACCAGTACTGCCAAGGACAGCAGTATAAGGATCCTGAACTGTGTAAAAAGCTCTCTGCACCAGTCTTGGGAGAACAGCCTACAACACACACCTTAAAGAAGCAAGGAAAGAGCTAGAGACACTGTTTTCAAGACACCAGCGCTTATTTACTGTGTTCCACACCTTTATTTCACTTTGTAGATCTTTTCAAGGTAAAAACATCAACATATTTTAACAACATGGACAGCTGAGAAAGAAAACTTTATGCACCAAGTGCAGATTAAAAAGATGAAGTCTGGAATCACAGCACAACTCAGCAAGTGTTTCTTCTGACGTTATCTACATGGCAATTACTGGCAGTTCTGTTACTGAAATGCAACTCAACAGTGGTGTTAAGTCGATGATTTAAAACAATTTTAAATCTCTAAAATAACATTTCAAATGCCTAGTTTTGATATATTTAGCCCATAAATTGAAAGATTTCTTTTTTCTGATCAGGCAAAGACTTTCAGATAAAAATGTAAAATTTTAGATTCTGAAGCACATCAAAGCATCACGGCAGCAGATTCACGCTAACTGTCTTTGCAGCTACTTACTAGGGAACATGTCATCCACCTAAGCTACACGAAGATCAAGTGCTTTTTACTCACTCAGGCCATGGCTAGACTGTCATTTCAATGCAAAGAATCTACCCAGCTGGTAAAACAAAAATACCCCTCCCTCATATCCTAGCTTCTTTTTCCCCTAACATGTGTCTCACACCAACAGTATCACGTAACACTGGACTAGATTAGTTCCCTGGTTTGGCTCACTGTGCTTCCATTCAAATACTCATGCCAAGAAAACCCAGAGGTAAGAGCAAATTGCTGGTGCCTACTGATAACAGTAATGACGTACACAGATTGAATTTACTATTAGCCACCAGGTCAGTTCAGTGACACACAAGATTTATGAGATTATCATGAGAAGTTCCAGACCCTTTCCCCACGTGCAATCCCCTCCTGGCAACACATGCTTAAACCACCAAAAAGGAACCCAACAAAAAACAGCTGAATACTTTTCTGTTGTTTTAGCAAGCACAAGTGGCTTATGGAAGTACCACAAACAGTTCTCCAGCAGATAAATGATCAACAGCACAGCAAGGGTAGGAAGGGAAAAGTTCACCAACTTCACAGCAGCAAGCTTCCATGCTGTGGAACCACTGCCTTGCTTTCCCAAACGAGAATCAGTAAAATAAAAAAAAAATCCTGAATACCTATAATTTCAAACAGTCTTTTAGAAAGCATTTGAAAATGTCACTAGTCAATGTGTTAAAGCACAGTAGTTAACAACTCTCTTCAGCAAGTACAGAAATAACAGATGCAAGAGAGAAGTGCTGTCATTTTCAAGCTTGCTTGCCCTTGAAAGTTTGTTCCAGAGACTGCTGCCATAAACTTCTGCAGAATCTAATTCTTCATTAAAAAAAAAAAAACAAAAAAAAACACACACACAAAAAAAAACATACTTCTGGACTTTCAAGGCACAAATAAAATTTCTGAGATAGAAATAAACACAGGAACACTTCCCTGAGTTTACAGAAATATCAGCAAAAGAAACAGGAATATTCTTTTGTCACATTGTTACTGGGATCAGGGAGAGTGCAACCAATGAAAATAAACTCTCACTAGAAGAAGCCCCACTGTATAGAGAAGGAAAAGCAAAATGTTGCTATCAGACTGTCATACGTTAAGCACAAGTCTTACAAACAGTAAGAAGAAAAAGATGGTTTTCCTCACAAAAAAAATCACAAGTATCTGAGGTATTCATGTAAAGTATCTCAATCTCTCACCTCATGGCTTCCATAATTTGGAAATAAAGTAAGACCCAGGGAACACCCATGAATGCAGTCTTCTTTCACATCAGAAATATATACTCACACAAGTTCAAACAAAAGCCTGTGAACTTACGTTGTTAGCAAGAATGCCCCATCACTGCATCTTTCTAGAGCTTTCCGTGCTGGAGGTTTTGCTGCAAACTCTACGAAACCTTTTCCTGTAGCTCTGCCACGATCATCTACTACAACAACAGCTCTTTCCACTGGCCCAAATTGAGAAAATGCTTGTTCCAGCAGCTCATTAGAAACAACGGGTGAAAGATTCTTGACTGTTAGGGCAGCTCCATGTGTAGCAAATCGAATTCGAAGTGGTCTGCTCTTCAGAATAGTACCATCAAGTTCTGCCTTTGCTATTTCAGCCAGTGTCCTGGATTCCTTTTTCAAGATATAAAATATTTTATATATTATATTTTCAAAGACAACATATCACTTCTGTGCCACTGCTCCCTTCCCTCCCCCCCCAAAACCAGCAGATTTTTCTTTTTCCTCAATTTCAGCACGTTCGCATCAGGCTTATTCAACTCCCCCGTCCAAAAAAAAAAAAAAAAAGCTCCTGCCGACTGACTGCAAAATAATCTGCATTTGTCTCCCCTATGATTTATTCTAAAAAAATTACATCGGCGCAATTTTTTGTTGCACATTAGAGAACTTTAATTCTTATTATGATAGATAGGTTTGTGCTGCTTTGTAAAGGCTTTCACTAAAGGCGATAACTTGATGCTTTTTCATCTTTACCTACTTCTATGTTTATATTCTGTATCACTAGCTCCATATACTAAGTATTTTCAAATATTACACTACAGGATCTAAGGTGTTTTGGGTTTTTGGTTTGCTTTCAAATCAGCAAGAATATCACACTTGCTCATTACCACTACTGGATGAACTCTATGGATGTTCAATTTGAATTTCACGAACAAACCATGAAATTACCTTCCTTGCTCATGTATTCATTCCTCTCACATTTACGGGCGTTCTGTACCCACATCCATAACAGTCTGTATCAGTAATTGTCTTTTCTCTCATTTCAGAGATTTTCACCCAGTTTGATATCTGCAATCCCTTATATTTAAAGAAATTATTCTTTGCATTATAGCCATTTTCTCCACAGTTCAACTGACTAGCTAAATTGTTAAAAAATAATATATTCCCTAAACATAACAGAAAAGGGACGTTCAGATAAAAGCTACATCTGATCAAAACTGAGAAGTGACATGTAACAACACTTCCTCCAGAAAATCACTGTTTCAGGCCGGGGAATTCTGGGGGTAAAAAATGTATAGCAGAATGCCACAAGCACTTAATCTTTAAGATGACAACCAAAAAGAATAAAATCCTAACCAGCAAATATATAGAAAAATGGTAACTAGAGACACCCAAAGCACTCTAAAGCTATTCCCAGAATGATACAAATCAGTGCATTCTAAACATGGTGGTCTTTAAAACTAATCCTAAACTTCATAAACTATCATAAGCTTTTCACATTATTCCTTTTCTGCATGCTCAAACTGAGCATATTTTATGATCAACATATTGGAGATTTTATCCCTAAAAGTCTCGTCTTATCCAGACAGACGTAATTTAGACAATCCAACGTCCCACTTCGTTGCAATTCTGAAATTACATGTTGTTTTCACGATGTGTGAGCAGTGGTATTTCCTAAACAAAACTATTCAGTCTTTAAAACTGTGTTTTCGTAGACCAAACCTATACTCATAATGAACTGTACAGGCTGAAATTTGCTTCTGCACAAAGAAGGATTTTCTTCTAGTCCTGAAATACGATAAATTGTGCCAGTTAAATAAGGAAAATCTTTATACAGGTACCACACGAACAAAGCAGATGGCGCAACCACATCTTCCGTTCACGGAAGAGGCTGCAGGAGTGTCCGTGGTAGCAGCACGTAAACGGTGACCGGCGAAGCGGCCCTGAAACCGGCCCAGTACCGCGTTAGCGGGAGGGGAACCTGAATACGAGGGGCTGGGAAGGCTGCTCACAGTGCAGGCCTCCGGCTTGGAGATATAGAGGCAAACACGGGAGGGGGAGAAGGCAGAAGAAGCTGAGAGAACAGCGCTAGCAGCAAGGAGAAAGAGAGGGAATGAGGGGCGGCTACTGTGGGGTTTTTACACGCGCCCGACTAGGAAAGGCGGGGCGGGGGGGG